ACAATCCTAGGCCAGTAGCACAATCTCGCCTCGCGCACCTGTCCGTTTAACAAAAAAGATTGAGAATTCATCATCAGGTAACGGTCGTATAAAAAGATTACGCATACAAGTCTGTGTGTGTGTGTGGAGGGGATTTGGGGGGTGGGGTGGGGGGAGGGAGGGGATATGGTGCCAAGAACCTAGTGGCAGGCTAGTTGGGGTCAGGCAGAACTTAAAGAAGAGGCACCTAAGGCTCTGTTTGGAGGAAACGACTTTGTTGGAGGGCTTAAATCTATTTGAGTGCTTTCGACGAAGAAAGATTAACATATAATATGACCCAGATTGAGTCTTTTGAAGTCCTCCCCTCCAAAACTTTCTAGCCTCAGTAGAGAGACTATGATGGCCTAGGCAGGGATTGACGTCTAGAGAAATGGAACAAGCAAAAACATATCTTTCATAATAATCTTACATTTATCGTAGATGTCCTTTGCCACCTGATACAGACACTCGTTATCCTCAGCCATTCGGGAGGCCTTCTCAGCGTCCCTTACAGCCTCAGCTGCCACAAATGATTTGTTTTCGGCTTCTACAATCCTGCGGGCAGCCTCTATGGCTGCTTCTTCAAGTGTATTCCCAAGATAGCTGGTGTGTTGTACTTCCTCCTTTAGCCTGCTCTCCTGTTTTGGAATCGGTGCTGAAGTTGGGGTTGGGGTTGGAGTTGGAGATGCACCATGTAAGAACTCTTTCTTGATCCTATAGCAGTTCCCTACCTGTACCCAGAATAGCATATAAAACATGAACAAACTTCTAGGTCTGACCACATAATATTAATCTAGACTATTTTGCTGCTCCTGCATAATGCAATGGCCAATAGTTGATTGTAAGCACTTTAAAAAGAAAATCCCAATACTTTGATATATTTTGCTTAGATTATGCAATACACACACACCCACACATTCCCTCCGTGCCAAAATGAAGTTTGCGGTTTGACTTCACAGAGTTTAAGAAAAAGTTTGAAAAGTAAAGTGTATTATTGAATTTGTTTAGAAGACAGAAATTGTGTCACAAATTCTTTTCCTTTATGGGAGAGTGAGAAAGTGTAAACTGTAATTTTGGATGGAGACAGTGAGTGAGAGCAGGTGGTGTGCCTTTTTGTTACCACTATGCCCAGGAGCTAGGGCCCGTTAACCTCAAGGTGAAAGCCCAAGTAAACCCGGCCAATTGTAAGCCCAAACAATACCCGTTTATATTACTCCAACTAAATCCATACACACACACACACACACACACTGCAGTTTGTATGAAGTATGAACTCATTAAAAGAATGATGGTAGTAGAACCTTTGAAATACAAACATAGATGCATTATGGCCATAAACAGATTATCCTTCCCTTTGGTGACACAAGTAGTTTGGAACATTGCATGCTTAAGTGTAAGAATCAGACTACCTTTTCGAGTTTCTCTTGTTGAAGAAGCCTCCTCAACCTAGAACCAAGTAATCGTCTAAAATTTTGGGGTACCTCATGCCTTTTCTGTATTTAACAAATAATAGTATATCAATAATGATAATAATAATAATACCAGTAATAATGGTAATATAGTAATCATCATCATCATAAAATGCAACCTTGAACACATTTGTTTTTTTAATTCTGAGACCACGTGAACGATACAAAATTACAGATGTATTGTATAATTCTATATACTAAGACTCTTCATACTGCATGTATATCCAAGTGCAGAATACCAAATGGGAGCCCAATACAACTAGGGCTAGGTAAGGGTTAGAGACTCGATGCATTTAAAAATTTTATTGCCACATTGTTGTTCCAAAAACATATCCTGTTCCTGCTTTCCAATCATTTGATTCTAGTTTGAACATGAAGAATGGTAAAAGAGATGTAATCTATTTCGTTTAAAAGCATATATCTAAGCCCTTGTGTTCATCAAATTCATGAATGATATCTGTTTGCTAGGAAACCATGTGAAGGAATCTATGCAAGAAGATGGAGTAGCAATTATCAAGATAGGGAATGTGACATATATAATATACCTCAATGAAATTGATAATTGTTGATACATCACATCCATTTGGATCCTTGAGAGTTGTAAGTGCTTCATAAACCATGCTATTGTACCTAAAAAGAAAAGTTGAGGAAAACAACTTTCAACAGCCGTGACAAGAAAACATAGT